CAGGAAGAATGGGACGCGCTGCGCGATCAATGGCGCACTCATGTCACACGCGCTAATCTCCCCGGTAGGAGAACTCGGGAAGCTATCGCTCCTAGCTTCGACGACTGGTTGGATCGCAGTGCCGGCTTCCTTACATATAGGATTACACAATTCCTGACAGGTCACGGATGCTTCGGCACCTACCTGAATAGAATCGGTAAGGAGGATTCCCCGATATGCCGGTACTGTGATTCGGAGGAGGACACGCCGGAGCATACCTTGGAGGTGTGTCACTTTTGGGCCTTGGAACGTGGCGAGCTCACCGCTGTTATTGGACAGGACCTCTCTCTGAGAAACATCATCGCAAGAATTTGTAACTCTAAAGAACGTTGGAACGCGTTCTCGGTTTTCGTCGAACGGGTTCTCCAGCGTAAGGAGGAGGACGAGCGAAGGAGACAGCAGCAAGCCCTTGATCAGGGATAGTCGCGTTACTTGCGTTTTCATTGCGGCTTTGTTATTGCGTGCGGTTATCCCTGTGTGCGATTTATTTATTCTTTGCGATTTATTTACTTATTCGCGCGCGGACGGGGTTCTCCTGTCGCTCTTGGTTTGCTCGGGCGCGGGCCGGTTCTGGCTCTCCTCCTCCTGGGGTCCGGTGCGTCGCTCAGGCGACGTTCCCGGATCCCTGGGGGGTGGTGGGTGGGGGCGGTCGGCGTGCGGGTTTCCCTATGAGCGGCTGGATGGCCCTGTAACTTAGAATAGTATTAGTTTGTATACACAAACATATCTAATTGTCTCGCTTCTGGGAGCTCCGCTGCGATGGGTTGGGGGTTCCCTGGGGGTCGGTCGCCCGTGGTCTCGCCGCTCACCGCTGTGCTTGCGGGGCTCCGGCCCCACTGCTCCGCAGTGGGTTTGCCGGAGGCCCCGTTGTGGCTGCGGAGTGCGGGTGGTCGTCCTTCGGGGTTTCCTCGGCCTGCGGCGGGGCTCTTGGAAACTTTTCTCTTTTCGCGCCCCTCCCTCTCCCTCTCCCCCCCTTCTGGGGGGCCTGGGGGCGGGACGGGCGTGATCCCTACTATAGCCGTTGTAACGCCCCGTGATGCGGACTTAGTCCGAATGTTTTCCCGGTGTTGGGTTTATGTTAACCCTCAATGTTAACGAGCATCGCTCGTGTTTTTGATTTGTGTGGAACCTCTCTCCGGGAGGGGGGTTCCTGTTCGTTTGGTACGTGCATGTCCTTTGGCCCTGTGCGTTCTTCCTAGGGACGTCCGTGATTCCCTATGGAATGGCCTCGCAGCCAATGAAGAGCGTCCTCAATGATATGACTGCCCGCGGTCACTATCATGAGGACCTCTGAGGCGGTCGAACATTGGCACTTGTGCCAAATTTTCGACTAGTGCGTCATCCCGGCGGGTTTCACGGCGCCCCTGTTTGATCCTTCGTGTGATCTTGTCTCCGGTTTACGTTTTCTGTCGCCTCCGCGAGAGGACTGTTGTGACACGTGACGTAATACCTCGAGTCTCCCGCGTGTTGTAACTGTTGTCCAGCGTGCTAAATGTTTGGGAGAGGTTTTTTAGTGGGTGCAAGCCCCACATATCCTGGGGGACGGCCCCCGGTAGAATGCGCGAGGCATTTTTCCTCTTCCACGAAACAAAAAAAAAAAAAGTTAGGCTAGGTTAGGTTGTGACCGAACGATGCATAATCGGGCCACGGGGTACGCTATTTTGTCCTATTAGTCATCGGTCGCCACTCGGTTTAACCTTTATATACCGAGAAGGTAGGTATTCGTAATGAAAATCAGCCAAAAAGTGAACAATTTGTTTAAACAATTTTATTTTTTCAATCCCGCCACAACTGCTCGATAAGCATCGCCTGAGCTCTGGATACCGCTAGGTATGACCTCAATCGGCCAGCCAGGGATACCTGTTAGCCGGACAGCTGCTTGATCAGGTGATATCTCCTTAACCCTTTGACTCTTCGAATTCCCGCCACGGTTGCCTCCTCTGGGATGCTCTGCCAATCGTTTCCACTATCGATCATTCATTTACCTCATCCGTGGAACCATGATAGCCGGACAACCGCTTGATCGGCTAAGTTCCGACATTAATATAAGTAAAACGCCACTAATTCTCTTTTATTTTCAAGTTTCGTCGACAGCTGTTTCATCACCATCGCCGATGTCGTAGATCACCGCTGCTCACCGATGTCTAGGATCAACGCGTCTGGGAGATAGCCGGACAACCGAGAACTGTCCGCGTAACTACCACTAATATCAACTTTTTTCAGGTTTCCGCCACGGTTTCCTCATCAATGGCCTCCTCCGAAGTAGAATCTGTGATGACCTTGAAGAACGGACCACGCTATCACCAAGATGGCCGGACAGCCGCTTGTTCAGGTAAGTTTCCGGGTAAGTAAAGATATTTTCGTTTGTATTTTTGCAAATAACAATTGCTTTTATTGTTAACTATAGTTGCACAATGTTGGTGATTCACAATTAACGATTGCCACATAAGATGGCGGTCGCACGTCTCGCAAAGTGCGAATTCGCGATTCAGGTACGCGAGACCCGTACGTCTTT